TACACACACACCTACACACACACACCTACACACACACACACCTACCTAACTGCTCTGTTTGTTCTTTGCGTCGTATTTCTTCCTCAGCCGCCTCCCCAACTGCCACATGGCGTCTTTACCACTGACTTCCAGGACTTTGTGACAAAGTGGTGAGTGATGCACACGTTTGACTGAGCTGTGTTTACATTGTTATCGTCTGATCTTCCACAAGAAGAAATTCCACCAACCACCAACAGCTGACATCTTTACACTTGTCTATTTGTATTAACGTCATACATTGACATAAACTTAAGTGAAGTGCATATAATTTGTGTTGTGCCTGGTGGTTGCAGAAACCGGTGTTGTACAAAGATAGTTAGGAAAAAATCCATATATGCCAATAAATATTAAGAAATACTGTATCATATACTAATATCAGAAATAACAATAAAGGACTGGCTGAGCTATCTTGGAAGAAAAGAAGACGACACAGTAGATGGCAGTAATGCACCTTGATCTTGGTTACCAAGTGCCAAAAAAGCAAAATAATAATAATAAGAACTATTTGTCTGGTAAAGTTTGTCCACAAACGTTGAATTCTCTATTTAAAACATCATTACATCTGTATTTCTCTCTCCCCTCTTTCAAACTTGTAGAATCTATAAATGTGAAACAAAAGTAATATTAAGATAGATCCATGATGTCTCATATTTCACTGAAAAGTTGTGGTTTCAGGTTTCCACATGACACTTTGTAAGTTGCAGACTGAACCACAGCTTGCAAACTAGTTATGAAGTCAAAAATAACAGAAACGTTCCCCCTTCAGCGGATGAACAGTGTTCTCCTGTCAAAACTAGTTTTACACAGTAAGGTTCAAATGAAACAAGTAAAACACATCTTTGAGTTGAGGACCTAAATGACAGAGCAAGTAATGTTTCTTTTAAAGTTTTCTCATGTCCTTCACTGTCTTAATGTTGTTTGTGTCTGCAGTTTGATCAAGAACCCAGCAGAGAGAGCAGATCTGAAGAAGCTGATGGTGGGTTCCTGAGCCTCATTTTCATTTATCTGATACTTTGATAACCGGGGTTGTTTATACCTGTAAAGCTGCAGCCTGACCTGTAAGGATGTCATCAGTGACATCATGAAATGGTTGTCTCAATTCAAAATATAGTTACCATGTCTGGATAGAGCATGCAGGAGGCAGGACATGATGTGTCAACTCTGCTGCCGAAATCATGTGTTTTTGTTTACAGCACATCAAATCTCATAGTAGTTGCAAGTTGACATCTATATTTATTTATATATGTAATTTTTTGTTTGTTTTGCGTCAATCACGTGTTGGAAACGCCAACAACGCACCCATTTGTGCGCTGTCATATTTTTTGGTCATTTTCTTGCTTTATACTCGCATTGGACTCACTTGGCTACTTTCTGGACACTTTACTAGGGGTTTTACACGTTAAGTTCAGGAAAATATTCGGAACTTTTTTATGACGTGATCACATATAGAGCCCCTCCAAACATTTTCAGGAAATTGTCCGCAGTTCAGTGCATGTTTGAAAGTCGCTCATATCTGCCGATTTTCTTATCAAACACCTCAATATTGCTCTTACACCTGCAAAGTTTGAATATGATCACATTAGTGGTTGTCGAAATATTAAAAATACAAACAGACAGAGATACTTCCATGTATATTTAGATTCTAGCAGCGCAATCAATAGTTTCTCTCCTCTTTTGTCTTTCAGAGTCACACGTTCATCAAACGATCAGAGGTGGAGGAAGTGGACTTTGCCGGCTGGTTGTGCAAAACCATGGAACTCAACCAGCCCAGCACTCCCACCCGCAGCACTGAGTGAACAGGCCCCCTGCTCCCCACTGCCCTGACACACCTCTGGGTCTTGCTTGCATACACAGACATATACTATACACACACACACACACACACACACACACACACACACACACACACACACACACACAAGCCATCACACATAGTGGCACTTTTCTTTCATCTTGCTCTTGGATAAAACGGTTTTTGCTCGCCCCCCCATTTATTTCCTCACCAGCAGCAGGGCCTGTCGAGTCATTGTACTGTAAGACCACAGCTTCACTATGCCAGTGTCAAAGAGTAGCCTCAGCTCACTTCTCCACACAGCTAGAGAGGATATAAAGCACTGAAGGGCTGCCAGTGTGCTCAATTTGCATTGATTGACGAAAATTCTTTTGTATTGTTGAATATTCTGTATTAATCTTTTCTATGGCAACGGTCGATGGCTTGTGGGATTTTAATGAATTACCTACTGTAGAGTTTTGTTGGGCTGAAAATGACCAGAGAGAAATCCGTACGTAAATCACATTACTTGCAAATTCCAAATTTGTTTTATCGAAGGTGAACTCTGTTGTTTTGATTCAAAATCCCTTTGTCAAACTTGCTCATCTTAAAAATTTGTGACTGCAATTACCTCCTATAAGTGCGCTGGAGAACTGGGCCCATCAGGAGTCATGTGCACTTTTTGGTAATTGAGCGATCACTCTAAAAATCACTTTGTGAACAGTGTCACAAACCAAAGAGGGTACTCATGACTACTAATGCCTGATCAGTTTTCTTTTGTATGCACATTCATGAACAGTATATCAGTGCACTTTGAATGTTTCTTTTTCCAATTAGTGACCTACACGCCGATTGTGTTGACATTGTTTCCTCTGCATACACCCCACACAGTGTGTCTCGTGTTTGGAGGTGTATGCTGTGGAGGCCTGATACACTCCAGAATGTCTTTTTTGACATCGAGAAAACAATGATCAAACCGTATTCATGGGATGATATAGCATGGTTTATTATCTTTCTAATACTGTATGTGTATTTTATTTCCCAACATCATGATGGTGATGATTTAGCTGGTGTTTTTATCAAAAGCCTGAATCTCTGCAATGTCAATATGAAATCTCAAATCACATTGACAATTTAACTTTTATTTGTCTTAGTTGTTGGTCTGTACTTTCCCCCCTGAAGTGTATTTGGTTATGTTTTCCCTGTACTGCTAATGTGTGGCACTCCAAGCTTTCTCTTTGGACACAAACAGAAGAGGTGTGCTTTTGGAAAAGAATTGGGTTGAACACGCTTGAAAACCCTTTCCCTGTGCTTTAACCCTATTATTTGTCCGACTGCAAGTGGAACTTAAGTCATAAGTAGTACAAAGGGTTTGACTGAAAAATTTTAACCCAGGTCAGTGTTGGTCACATGGTGGTGGTATTACACTTGCTAGCCTGCCGTCTTGCTAGAGCTCTTGTATTCTCTCTGTTATGGCTGCCCTTATTCCCCCAGAAACATGCATTCGTTCCGAGCTAAATGGATGCATCTTCACTCGTATGTGTACAAAGCTATATACAAAAATTACAGGAGTACTATTTTGCAGTCTTAATATACAAATTTTTGATTTATGTAAATGACAAGGGA